GAAAGGAGGTGATATAAAATACTGAATCATAACTGGTGCCTCAGATAGTAATGCTTGGAGCCAGAAGTGTTTCAGATTTGTCAATTTGTTAGTTTTATTTTGGAATAGTTGCATGTATATATATATATATTTATAGATGTAATAAGATATCTTAGGTTTGGGACTCAAGTCCAAACACAAAATTCACTTGTATTCAAATACACCTTATACACATAGCTGAAAGGTAATTATTATTATTATTTTTTTTTTTTTTTGGAGAGGTTTTTGCTATAGGGCACGTGCGCTCACCAGACAGACAGAGAGAGACAGAGAGATAGAAAGCGAGAAATCACCCCCCAGGGGGGATGGCCATGCCGCAATCCCTTCTCCTCTATTCTCTTCTTGGGATCTTGGGCACGCACGCACACACGCCCGGCATGAGTTTTAAGCCACCGGGTCTGGGACGCAAACCGCGGTCTACTACATGGGAGTCCAGCGACATAGCCATTACGCTAACTGCTGGTCCCGTTGAAAGTTAATTTTATACAAAAAATTAATTTTTTAAATTAGTTCATTTTAATTTGACCAAAGGGGGACAGAGAGAGAAAAAAAGGGAAAATGAGAAAGCAAGTCACCAGGTCTGGGACTCAAACCGCAGTTGGCCATGTGAGAGTTCAGTGCCCTTAACCACCATTCTACCTGCCAGCCCCTAAAATTAATTTTTATACAAAAATATAAATACATTTTACATTTTGTGTTGCAGCATTTTGACTGTGACCATAACATGAGGTCAAGTGTGTAATTTTCCACTGTGGCATCATATGGGTGCTCAAAATTTTTGTATTTTGAAGCATTTTTGACTTTGGACTTTTGGATGAGGAATGCTCAGCCTGAATTTACGAGGCACCTAAGCTTTGTTTTAGTGATTTAGGCCATCTCATGTAATCATCACCACAGCTTTTTGAAGTCATTACAATTTTTATTCTATTTTTATAATTGGCAAGCAGAAAGGTACACTCAGGGGCTGAGCTGAAGTGCACACCCCAGCAGCGTGGCTCCACTGTTCACACTGAGCCCCCACACTGTTATCTCTTAGGGACCACTACTTTCCCGCTCCGTACTGTTCAGGAATCTGGCCTCAGTATGAAAGGGACGGGCCATAGGAGCCTGGAATTAGAATAGGGCAAGGAGGAGGCTGTCCGAGCTAGCGAAGGTGAGCAGTAACAGAATTCTCCTGTCTCTGACACAGCCACTCACTGGTGACAGCCCATTTGTGATTTGTTTGTGGTGGCCGAGGTCATAGAATGACAATCCATAGTACATCTTTATTTCAATTTAGCAATATCAGCTCACTGGGTCACTCAGCAACGTGTACAGCAACCCTGCCTCTCTTTACCAGAACCTAAAGGATTGGATGTTTCTTACCCGAAAGACACTTGAGTCTATACTGATTGTTGAATAAGTAAACAAATGAGACAGATCTCCCTTTTAGACAAATTCCAAATAATACGTGTAGAAGAAAAGAGCAGGAAAAAACCATTAGAATTCCATAGTAATCATTGCTCCTGGTAAGAGCCACTGATGAATGTAAAAACTAGTGGTAGAAGTTCCAAGAAAGGTTATATGCATAGCCTCAAAGTTACTCTTCCCAAATATTTGTGTGGTTGGTTGGTTGTATGTTTTTGGTTATTTATTTCATTTTATTTTTCATCTTTTTTTTTAATATAAAGAATTACTTATTTATTATCATTATTTTTTAATTTTGACCAGAGAGAGCAAGCTGCCAGATCTGGGACTCGAACCACAGTTTGCCATATGGTAGTCCAGTGTTGTTAACCACCACACCACCTGCTAGCCCCCATTGTTTATAGTTTTTTGGCTTTTTGTTGTTGTTGTTAAAGAATTACTTAATTTTATTTATTCATTTATTTTTAATTTGACCAGAGAGACGGGGTGTGGGAGGCAGGGCAGAAGTGAGAAGGCAAACCACCAGGTCCGGGACTCAAACCGTGGTCAGCCATGTAGGAGTGTCCACCACCCTAACCACCACGTCACCCTCTGTCCCCCATTGTTTGTAGTTTTATGGGGTTTTTTGTTAAAGAATTATTTAATTTTATTTAATCATTTATTAATTTTTAATTTGACTCATTCATTTATTTTTAATTTGACCAGAGAGATGGGGTGTGGGGGGCGGGACAAGAGTGAGAAAGCAAACCACCAGGTCTGGCACTCAAACCATGGTCAGCCATGTGGGAGTGTCCAGCACCCTAACCACCACGTCACCCCTTGACCTCCATTGTTTATAGTATTAACATGTCCAGAACTTCTTTGATATTCCTCCTTCCAGAAAATGGAGCTTAATTCTCTTCCCCCTGAATGTGGACTGGGCTTAATGACTTTTTTTTTAAAGGTTTTTGTTTTTACTGGGGTTAATGGTTTTTTTTTTTTTTTTTTAAGAATTATTTAATATAGGGGCCAGCAGGTAGCATAGTGGTTAAAGACGCTGGACTCCCACATGGCTGACCACAGTTCAAGTCCCAGACCTGGGGCTTGCTTTCTGACTCTCTCTCTCTCTCTGATCAAACTGGAAAATAATAATAAATTAAGTTAAATAAAATAATTATTTTTTTAAAAAGAATAATTTAATATTATCATATTTTATCAGAGAGAGAAAGTGAGAAATCAAGCTCCCAGGTCTGGGACTCGAACTGCGGTTGGAATCCAGTGCCTTAACCACCATGCCACCTGCAGGCCCCAATGATTTGTTTTAATGAATAAAATGGGGAAAGAGAAAAGTGGAAGTTTTACAGTGGAGAAACTTGGCAGATGCCATTTTAACTAAGTGAGCAATATTTGCTTATTTTTATTGCCAGAAGGTACATGTCCTCTCTAGAGGAAGAGACAAAACCATAACCCCAAAATCATAACCCCCCCACTAATAATGAGTAAGCATTAGATAAGCCCAAACTGATGAACAGTCTATAAAACACCTAACCAGTGTTATCTTTCTTTTTCTTTTCTTTTCTTTTCTTTTCTTTTTTTTTTTTTTTTTTTTTTTTTGAGGGTTTTTTTCTTGGCTATAGAGCACATGCGATCGCCAGAAAGACAGAGACAGAAAGTGAGAAATCACCCCCTGGGGGGATGGCCACACCGCAATTCCTTCTCCATTCTCCTCTTGGGATCTTGGACACACACAAACGGGCCTGGCGTGAGTTTAAGCCACCAGGTCCAGGACTCAAACCACAGTAGACTACATAGCCATTACACTAACTGCCGGTCCCTGTTATGTGTTTTTCTGACTCTTCGAAATGAGTCGAGATCATAGAAAACAAGAATAGAATGAGAAACTGCCACAACTTAGAGAAGGCTAAAAGAGAGATGACAGCTAAATGCAACATGGTATCCTGAATAGGATTCTTATTTTTGTTTACTTTTTGCTAAAGGACACGTGTGCTTACAAGAGAGAGAAAGAGAAAGTGAGAAATCACACACACACACACACACACACACACACACACACACCCCAGAGGGTGGGAGGATGGCCACACAGCAATCTCTTTTCCTCCATTCTGCTCTCAGAATTTTGGACACACACTCAGCATGATTTTCAAGCCACCAGTCCAAGACTGGAACTGCACAATCGGCCATGTGGGATCTAGCTGCCTCAAGCTCCATGCCACCTGGTGGCCCTCAGAAAATAATACTTTTAAACCTTTTGGTTTTTTCGGTCTGTTGGCCTGACCCTCCTTTGCGTCCTTGGCACAACTTGCCATGTTTTGTCTGTATTTATACATGACTTATTTCCCTAAATAGAACACAAACTCCTTGAAGGAAAGAAGTCTTACAAATGTCCCTAGCATCTGGGACGATGTTCGCAGCATTGTAAACCATCATTAAATGGTTGGGGAGTTGAATACTCAAAAGAGCAGCCTTCTCTCTCCCTCGGCAGCTGAGAGGTGAGAGGACTTGCTGAGAGTCATACGACTCTGAGCTGCATTTGGAACCCAGCTGCTCAAACTGTCCTTCTCTGAGAATTTGGAGGCTGTGAAGCGTCCCTCACTCTGATCATAGATAGTAAGAGTGGTGGCTGTCATTTGTCACGGGCCCGCTCTGAGCCACGCTTGGTTCTAGGCATGC